AAGCGATTGAGGAACGATTCGGCGGTATAGATGTGAAGCCGATTGGAAACGACGAAGGCGATTGAAGGCGATTGTGAAGCGATTGAGGAACGATTTGGCGGTGGGAACGATTCGACGATGGACGACTCTTAAAGGGAACATTTTGGGGAGTGAATCGTCGTCTCGGGAGCCGATAAGGGAGGAGTGTTTTTGGGGGAGGGGAGCCAGGTAAATTGAAGAGGCATATTGGGGGAAGGGAAGGGAGGCGTGTAAAGGAGGTGTGTAAAATAGGTTTAAGGGTATTTTCGGTATTTCAAAAGTTAAGACTTTGATCAAATTTGTTTAATAAGGTAGTATAGATATAGATATGAGATTTTTAAGGAGATTCAAATAACTAATTAATTTATTCATTTTTAAAATCTAAATACCTTCACATCTTTTTGATGAGGTGGCAACATGTCATTGCTTTTTGCATGGTCGTCTTTTCGATTGATCATGTCCCTATAAAAATATGTATAACATTTTTATACAAAAAGATTAAATTAAAAAAAAACATGCACGGTCGAATTTGGGAAAAAAGCTGACCGTATGGAAAATACTTCATAGAATTATGAATGACCATGCTGTATTGCTGAATAAAGCACCAATTTACATAGATTAATCGCACCGACATCCCTGTTTAAGACTTATTTGGACCGGTCCAACGAGACCGGGACTGTTAACTGGACCTAGTCGGAATAAGGGGTTGTTTGTTTACCTCTTAATAGTTCCATTAAGAGGCAACATCTGAACAGTTAAGAGGTGAATCTTGCTTGGCAAAACAAAAGTCTGACTCTTAATGGTTTTAAAACCTTTTGAATGATTTTGTATCATAGATCTCCCTTAACCATTAAGAGCCCTAATTTCATTGTACACAATACCAAACAATTATATTTCATTTTGCACTATATCATGAGAGCCTCTTAATCATTATGACCACTTAATCATTTTGCACCAAACCATTCAGCAATTGCCAAACAGTCCCTAAGGATAACCAGTTCTGAAAGTATCGATTTAGAATTGATGACCCGAACCAAAATTTGACTTTCTCTAAAAAAAGTCAATAAAAATGATGGCTTATAATGGCCCAATTAGCAACCAGCGGCCCGGCCCTAAATTGGTCAAACACAATCGAAACGATGATTTTCCCTCCATTTCGTGCAATACCTTTTTCAATTTCAATTTCAAAATTTTTCATGTCTTCCCTTTTAATCCATCATTTTCAGACGCTGCCAAGTCAAGGGTTTTCACTCTCGAAAACCCTCTCTGGTTCCACTCAAATACTCGCACTGAACTAGTTGAACATAAGGGGCAAAAGGTTCACTTGTCCAATTCACTTCAGATTGATTTTGGTCTAAATCGTTATATTTTTAGGGTTTCCAATCTGTCACAATGTACATCAAAGAGGTTTGTTTGGAAGGATTCAAATCATACGCTACAAGAACAGTTGTCCCAGGTTTTGATCCTTACTTCAATGCTATAACGGGACTAAACGGATCCGGGAAATCGAACATTCTCGATTCGATTTGCTTCGTATTAGGTATCACTAATTTGCAGCAGGTTCGAGCTTCGAATCTACAAGAGCTTGTGTACAAGCAAGGACAAGCTGGTATCACGAAGGCGACTGTGTCGGTTGTGTTTGATAACTCTGATAGGAGTAGAAGTCCCCTTGGCTATGAAGATTGCCCCGAAATCACTGTCACGCGCCAGGTATGTGACGTGACTCCTCACTTATTTCGTTAATTGAAGTTCGATGTTTTCAGTGTACCCATCCCTGAGATTTTTCATGACAACTGTAAATTTGGAATGAGTTTGCTCACAATCATGCATATATAGGTGTATGAAATTTGGCTGATAAATTACAGTATGTATAAGAAACAAACAGTTACTTATAATTCACTTTGATTTCAAGGGAAAGAGCTACGCATTGACTTTAGATGCCAACCATGTTAGTTGTGTTTCAAATATTGTTTAGGATTTCAAATTACAACAAATTTGGCACCTACGTTATACTTTACTCAAGGTGCTAGTGCTCCAGATATAATCAAAATGGTTTTAACTTTTTGAAAATTCATACCATTTTTTTCTTCGTAAGCTGCAGTTTTTTACTTGAAAAAGTAAGTTTTTTCTTTGGGGTTGATGGAGTACAAGACATTCTTGCAAAGTGGGTTTAAGTATCCAATTTATATGCTTAATGACACTTTAGGACAAAGGGTGAAGGTTCTTTTTTGTGATATCATAGATTGTGGTTGGTGGGAGGAACAAGTACTTGATCAATGGACACCTTGCGCAGCCAAGTAGAGTGCAAAATCTTTTCCACTCAGTGCAGCTTAATGTCAACAATCCACATTTTCTGATAATGCAAGGGCGCATTACCAAGGTATTAAACATGAAACCTCCTGAAATATTGTCCATGCTTGAAGAAGCTGCTGGAACAAGAATGTATGAAACAAAGAAGGACGCGGCTTTGAAGACCCTTGAGAAAAAGCAGGGTAAGGTTGATGAGATCAACAAACTTCTTGATCAGGAAATACTTCCTGCACTAGAGAAACTGAGGAAAGAGCGAATGCAGTACATGCAATGGTCTAATGGGAATGCCGAATTAGATAGACTGAAAAGGTTTTGTATTGCTTATGAATACGTACAAGCAGAGCAAATTCGAGATAATGCAGTTAATGGTGTTGATGAGATAAAGGCCAAGATGTCTGAGATTGATAATGATACAGGGACTATGCAAACAGAGGTGCAAGAGATGGAGACACATGTGTCAAAGTTAACTGTTGAAAAAGATGCAACCATGGGTGGGGAGGTTAAAGGTTTGTCAGACAGAGTTGATGCTATTTCTTGTGACCTTGTTAAGGAAGCATCTGTACTTAAAAATCAAGAGGACAATCTCATGACCGAGACTAAAAATGCTGTAAAGGTAAAGTGCTCATTAAGCCGAAGGATACTTTTTTTTTTGCAACATCATTTTTGGGCAAGTTATATTCTTTCAGTTTCATATTGCTATAATATTTCATGTCTTGGTGTGGTTAGATCGAAAAAAATATTGAAGAACTGAAGCAGTCTGCGGAAGATAGAGCTTCTGCTGTAAAGAGTGCAGAAGATGGAGCGGCTGATCTGAAGAAGAGAGTGGAGGAGCTAGCAAAGAGTTTGGAAGAGCATGAGAAAGAGTACCAGGTAAATGGATTGATGTAGATTGTCATTGTGGTATACTTCGATAATTGGATGAGCTGATTTTCTAATTACACTATGATGACTGCGGACAGGGTGTAATTGCTGGTAAGAGCAGTGGTAATGAAGAGAAGTGCCTTGAAGATCAACTAGGTGATGCTAAAGTGGCAGTTGGAAAGGCAGAAACTGAGCTGAAGCAATTGAAAACAAAGATAAGCCATAGTGAAAAGGAGCTAAAGGAAAATAAAGCCAAGTTATTGTCAAAGCGTGATGAAGCTGTTGCTGTAGAAAAGGAGCTCAAAATCAGACAGAAGGATGTGGAAAGTGTTGAAAGGGCTTTGAAATCTCTCTCGCATGATGAAGGGCAGATGGATGGTCTACAAAAGGTGTGTTATTCTTTCATAGTGTAATCAAGTTCAACAGAAGTACTCACATATCTACTGAACTTCATGTGATGGTGAATATTTTCAGGATCGAATGATGGAGTCTGAAACAATAAATAAAATAAAAGAGGAAATCCGGATGATTTCTTCAAGATTGGGAAACATTCAGTTTACTTATCGTGATCCTGTGAAGAACTTTGACAGGGCGAAAGTCAAAGGTGTGGTTGCAAAGCTCATTAAAGTGAAAGATAGCTCCACAATGACCGCCTTGGAGGTAATCATTCATCATATTATGCAATTATTCATCTTGGAAATTTTAGCCTTTATTGTTAATTGTATCAATTAATATAATGCAATTTTTCCAGGTTTGTGCAGGTGGAAAGTTGTATAATGTTGTGGTAGACACTGAAAACACAGGAAAACAACTTCTTCAAAATGGTGATCTTAGAAGAAGAGTGACAATTGTTCCTTTGAACAAAATTCAAAGCCATCCTGTCCCACCTAGAGTTCAAAATGCTGCTGTTAAATTGGCAAGATTCTGCTTCTTATGTTTACCTATTTTTGTTTTTAGGAAACATATTTATTTCATCTGTTGTATTCCTGTCACATGGGAACTTCTTTGTTTATCAGGTAGGTAAAGGCAATGCTGAAGTTGCACTTACTTTGGTTGGTTATGATGATGAACTCCAGGTATGCTTCCAATTGGTGTAACAGTTGTACTCTAATGCCTGTTTTTTATTTGTGTATTCAACTATTAATAGAAGAGCTTTTGGTTTGCTGGTCTTGATTACTTTCTTGTTCATTCATTTTCATTTTCTATGAACAAAATGTAATCAACTTTTGTATTGTTTCTGCCAAGGTATTTGCTTGTTTGTATTGAGATTGAACATATTTATTGCCCTTTTCCTCTGTTGTCTAATTTTTTGAGAGTTATCTATATCGCAGAGTGCAATGGAATATGTGTTTGGTTCAACTTTCGTCTGCAAGACCAGTGATGTTGCACGAGAGGTACTTTGTTGTTGTAAGATTATAGAACACCATCTATAATACGTTACTTGCCATTTTTCAAAGGTTTTGTTGCTGCAGTAACCCAGGCATGTAATGGTTAGCATACTAGTGAAGCTCATATATGGAAATTGTGCTAAATTTGATGGTTGTCACTAACCATCATCATCATCTTGAATTCTTCTCATTTTTATAGTAAAAATTGTGTCTTGTTCTACTTATATCTACTTCTGGTTCACAGGTTGCTTTCAATCGGCAAGTTAGTACCCCAAGTGTGACGTTAGAAGGTGACATATTTCAACCAAGTGGACTCCTGACTGGTGGTTCTCGCAAGTAAATAACATTGCACTAGTCAATTCTTGACATGCATCATTATTTAACTATGGAAGTTTATATTGCTTTTATCTGCTATCTTTTCTGCACAACAATTAATCTCAGTGTTTATCTTTGTAGTCTGATCACCTAAAATATACCTTGTTAAATGTTAACTCACAGGGGTGGTGGTGATCTATTAAGGCAACTTCATGCTTTGTCAGAGGCTGAGTCAGAATTATCTCTACATCAGAAGCGGCTAATAGAAATTGAAGCAAAGGTTTACCTTCAACACTACATTGCTTATCACTCCTTGGAAGTAAACTAGAAGCAATACTTAAACTTGCATGATCTTGTCTAATTATACGTCTAAGTATCTGCTGTGTCTTTATATGCCCAGATCAATGAGCTCCTTCCCGTTCAGAAAAAGTATAATGACCTCAAGACTCAGTTGGAACTCAAGACATATGACCTATCACTATTCCAGAGCAGGGCTGAACAGAATGAGCATCATAAGGTTCCACCATAATTTGTGTTTCAAATAGAGGGGTCTATTTCCTCTTATTCATCAATGATGATATATGTTTCTTTATTCTTGTGTTTGTGTTCATGTAGGTGAGTGAAATAGTAAAAAGGATTGAGCAGGAGCTTGCAGAAGCGAAATCTGCTGTTAATGAAAAGCAAGCCTTTTATAAAGAATGTGTAACTGAAGTGGAAACTCTTGAAAAATCAATTCACGATCATGCCAACAATCGGGACCGTAGGCTCAAAGATCTGGAGAAAAAGATTAAGGCAGTGAAGACAAAAATGCAGTCAGCTTCAAAGGACCTCAAGGTATGTTTTTGTTGTTAAGGAGAACAGAACAATTTGGTGCATAATTTTTTTTACAGCAGATTTTCTCACTTTACTTTTCATCTAGGGGCATGAAAATGAAAGGGAGAAACTTATAATGGAAATGGAAGCTGTCAAACAAGAACAGGCATCATTGGAGAACCAATTAGCTTCTTTACAGAAGCAGATTAGTGTGTTAACTTCTGAAGTGGATGCACTCAAGGCCAAGGTATACTTTTCGTCTACTTCAACTCGTATATGCATGTATTTTGTTTGTTTCCCTTTCCCTTTTGTCCCAGCTGAAAGATAATGTTTGGACTTTTCCAGGTCACATCATTGAGAGATGAACATAGCCAAGCACAATCAGAGCTCAATGCAGCCCGTACGAAGGTCAAGGAATGTGATTCACAAATTAGTTCCATTCTCAAAGAGCAACAAAAACTTAAAAATAGGATTGGTGAGAAAAATCTTGAGAGGAAAAAGTTGGAAAACGAGGTAATTTTTTGAATACCTAATTCTTATTTAAGTTAACATATTTGTCAATCAAAACCTTTTGCTTTTTTTGTCTGTTTTGTAGGTGAAACGTATGGAAATGGAGCAGAAAGACTCTTCTTTGAAGGTGGATAAATTGATTGAAAAGCATGCTTGGATAACTTCTGAGAAACAGCTTTTTGGAAGAAGTGGAAGTGACTACGATTTCACATCTCGTGATCCACACAGAGCAAGGGACCAATTTGAAAAGCTGCAGGCTGAACAAGCAGGGTAATGGGTGAAACTTCTTCCAAATTTTCACCACCCATTCTTTTTTAATCAGTTTCTTTGTAGTGGGAAAATATAAAGTAGTACTTAGTTTTTAGTTGTTTGTCTCTTAAAGCCTTGAGAAGAGGGTGAACAAGAAAGTTATGGCCATGTTTGAGAAAGCAGAAGATGAGTACAATGATTTGATATCCAAGAAGAACATTATTGAGGTTGGTGAACATAGATTTTCAATCGATTCTTGCCAATAAAACCCGTCTCCACTTATACCGACCATCTTACACAGAATGATAAGTCAAAGATTAAGCTGGTGATTGAAGAGCTTGATGAGAAGAAAAAGGAGACGCTGAAAGTCACATGGGTTAAGGTGAACAGGTGAGTTTCTTGAAATGCTCGAATGAATTTTAATGATTGGTTTTATACCATTCCGTTTTTCTCTGAAATATGTATATTTTCAGCGATTTTGGATCCATATTTTCTACTCTGTTACCTGGCACAATGGCAAAGCTAGAACCACCAGAGGGCGGTACATTTTTGGATGGGTTAGAGGTCCGTGTGGCATTTGGGGGTGTTTGGAAACAGTCATTGTCCGAACTTAGTGGAGGACAACGATCTCTACTTGCGCTTTCGCTAATTTTGGCGTTGCTACTTTTCAAACCAGCTCCACTTTATATACTGGATGAGGTATTTGTAAAATTTATATTTTTGACTCTAGGCTTTTATTGTTTCTTTTGTATGAATGAAACATATTTTCCAAACATCTATATGGTTAAATAAACATCCTTCCTTGATGTTGAGCAGGTTGATGCAGCTCTTGATCTGAGTCACACCCAGAACATTGGGAGGATGATCAAATCTCACTTTCCACATTCACAGGTATATATGCATCTGAAACTTACAAAATGCAAGCATTCCATCTACTTGTAATTTGATTGACACATTTTTCCAACTTTTTTCCTTAAAAATATCAATTCTAGACTCGAGTTTCATCTTTGTGGGAAGATGTTCGATAAGAAGTGTAGGAATTGACAATCTTTCATTGATTACAGTTCATTGTTGTATCGTTGAAAGAGGGCATGTTCAACAATGCCAATGTTCTTTTCCGTACAAAATTTGTGGATGGTGTCTCGACTGTTCAGAGGACAGTTGCATCAAGGCAGACCAAATAATCCTGTTTTTCAACCGCGGTAAGTTTAAAATTTGTCATTTTTTAAGTCTGGTGCTTATAAGGAAGGAATTTCATTTTTGGTGCTTATAATAACACCATATTTGAACTTTGTCCAGGTGGTTGAGGATCTGTGAATTAGAGGTTTGAAAAATGTTGTGCAATGACTTATTGTGTAAATTTGATTATCCAAAGCAGAAAGCTTTTGTTCTAATTATCTTGTATTATTATTATTATTGTTATTATTATTATTATTATTGTTATTATTATTCTTCTGAATTGATCTTACATTAGAAACAGGAATATGTACATTATGAAACTAACGTTGTCTCTTGAGTTTGACCATCTGCAGTAGTTTGAGATGTTGCTCTTTTTGGTGCCATTTCCTTGTCAACTCAGTTATTATACTTGGTTGTAGAGATCACTATGGACCGTTCATAAACTATTTGGTCAAACCGCTCCATAAAAGTCTGGTCCGAGATTGTCAGAGTAAAAAGTGACATTCTTAACTGGTCTGGTTTGGTTTGATTTGATTTTTAATTTTATAAATTTAATTTACTACATTATCAATAACTAATATATATATATATATATATATATATTAGAATGATATTCGTGTAATGTATCGAGACACATCTTAATTTTAGTGTTTTGTTTTATTTCTTTTTTATGTTGATATAACACAATTTTATGTGGTTTTGAGAAAATGATAATGTTTTTATTTTTGAATAAAATATAAATTTAAAAATATCATAAAATTTAAAAAAAAATATCGATATCAATATTAAATTAATATTTTTAAAAGTTATTGTGTCTTGGTGTAATTTCTCTAATTCAATTTTTTTAATTATAATTTAATTTAGGTTTAATAAGAAACAAATTTAATTTAGATTTAATAATATAATTTTTTATAAAAATAATAACTAAGTATTTTATTAGAGCTCAATGATTATTTTAATTATATTTTAGATTTTTTATATTTAAAATGAGATGTTTATTCAATATTTGATCATGTTTATCTGCAGTTAGTTACACAAATTCAAATACGGRGCTTTAATAAGTTGTATTTATGCACAATTTATCTATAATCTTAAATTTTAAGTAATATGCATCAATAAACAGTACTTCGTGCATAAAAAATGATTTTTAAAAGTTTTTGTCAAATGTTTTATGATATAATATAGATACACACACATATCTATACTATATTATAAAACATTTAAAAAAAACTCTTAAAAATAATTTTTGTTACATAAAGTACTGATTATTGATGCATATTACTTAAAATTCAAGATTATAAGTAAATAATGCATAAGTACAATTTATTAAAGTTCTATGCTTGAATTTGTGTAGCTAGCTGTAGATAAATATAATCAATACTGGATAAACATTTCATTTTAAGTATAGAAAATTTAAAATATAATTAGTATAATCATTATCTTCTAACAAAATACTTAATTATTATCTTTATTAAATAAAAAATAAATTGCTTTGTTATTAAGCATAAATTAAATTATAAAAAAAAATTTAATTAAAGACATTACACAAMAAAATAAAAACTTTTAAATAGTTAATTTGATACTAATATATATATATATATATATATATAGCGAGAGAGAGAGAAAGAGGAGCGTTCAAATAAAAACTACCCAATTTGTAGAAACTGTACAAACCTCATTCAACCAATCATAATTTTTCATTTTGTTCATTTTTTTGTAATTATGAGAGGTTGATTAACCATTTTTATTGTGGAGAGTGTTAATCATGGATATTATCATCTTCATTATTTCAATTTTAGAGAAATACATGAAACGGTTTCATTAAAATTTCATTAGATATTATATGAAACAATTTCATAACCATATATGAAACAAATTCATCAAAAAAGTATTATATGAAACAATTTCCCAAGATTAAACAATTTCATGAAAATATTTCATAAGATTAAACAATGAAATCGACGTATGAGAGTGGTTTGTACGGTTTGTACAAATGAGAGTGGTTTTCATTTGATCGCTCCTCTCTCTCTCTCTCTCTCTCTCTTTATATATATATATATATATATATATATATATATATATTTAAAATTTTAAGATATTTTCAAATTTATATTTTATTAAAAAATAAAAATATTATCGTTTTTCTCAAAACCACGTAAAACCTTATTATAACATCGATAGGATACAATAAAACGAAACATAAAAATTGAGATGTATCTGAGTATCTCGTTGCATTACGCGAGTACCCTTCTAGTATACATACATATATATATGTATATATATATATATGTATGTTGGTGATTTTAGTGAAATCACCGATCGATTTTAGGTAATTAGATTCACATGATAATAATAGGGTTGATAGCTAAGTTATAACACGAGCTGTAAGGTGTGGAGTGTACATTCGTATAAGTTAACTAGAACCCGTGATCACTGGACGGTCATATTTGGCAGGTTACTAAGTGGCAAGTGTCATTTGATAGTGCACATATTGTGCCTTTCTGTTCATAAAAAGAGCAGGGGTCGTGTTTGGAAACAGAATGCTGAGCATGGCCCGTGCATTTTTCTTCTTTGAAATGGCATGGGTTGTGCGTTTGTCGTCTGTGTGTTTCTGTTTGTTTAGCATGGGTTGTGCGTTTGTCATCTGTACGCTTCTGTTTTTTTAGCACGGTGGTGCATTTTACTCTTGTAAATTCCACGGGCTGTGCTTTTTATGTCAATTTGTAACTAATGAAATTTCTTGTAATCGTTACTCATTATGTCCAACAATCAACCTCATTTAATTATTATCAATATTTAATATGGGATCAGTTATGATTCTCTTGTGTTTAAATAGTATTGATTTCTACCAAAATCTATACCGAGAATTGAGATTATCCTCGAGTGAATTTCCTGATACCCTGGTAAAATAGGGTCGAAATATCACTTAACGAAAGCGAGCTCTCACGCGATCTCAAGTTCTTTATCTGGGTTTTATACACTCTTCATTTCTCTCGATATTATGGATTTCTTCCAATAATCTTAAGTGATATTTTTGTTCTTGAGAAAATGTCGAGTGACCAAACCGTGAGAGACATGACGACAAGATTCACCAAACTAGAGACGTGTTAGGATTCAAGCGCTTACCACTACGCCAAAAGCAATTGCTGGTGGAGAAGGCGCAACTTATTTCCTTATAGCATAGCAGCCAGCGCCACGTTTCGATTTAGGAAGATGCTGGTCAATGACCCAACAATCCCCCCCAGCATCTGCCAACACTAACAAGATCTTCGCTAGAAGTCAATGGCTACACAGCATGCCTTTGGCATTATTATGAACTCCATGGGATTCGAACCCGTGACCTGCTCTGATACCACATGTTAGGATCCAAGCACTTACCACTACGTCAAAAGCAATTGTTGGTGGAGAAAGCACAACTTATTTCCTTATAGCGTAGCAGCCAGCACCATGTTTCGATTTAGGAAGATGCTGGTCAATGACCCAACAAGAAGTTCAAAGGCGTTGATTTTTGAAGATGGCAGAAGAGATTGTTGACCACGTTGAAGGTCGTGTACATGCTAAGTACACCGATGCCGGAGGTTATGGAAGACGTGACGTTGGAGATGATACGATTTCGAGGCAAATGGGAGAACGATGACTATGTTTGTCGTAGCCACATTTTAAAGGGTATGTGTGACTCCCTCTTTGACATTTATCAAAATGTTGAGTCCTCCAAAGAGCTATGGGACTCTCTTGAGTCCAAATACATGGCCAATGATGCTTCTAGTAAGAAGTTCCTCGTTAGTAATTTTAATAATTACAAGATGGTGGACTCAAGGCCCGTGATGGAGCAACATAATGAACTCTTACGCATATTAGTGCAATTTTCTCAACACGACATTGAAAATGGACGAGTCCATTTAGATATCGAGCATTATTGAATAAATTGCCCCACTCTTGGAAAGACTTTAAGCACATGCTTAAGCGTAAGAAGGAAGAGTTGTCCCTTGTACAACTCGGGAGTCACTTGTGTATAGAGCAGGGCCGGCCCTGGCCATAGGCCCAAGGAGAGACGTCCCAGGGCAGCATGAAGCTCAAGGGCATCAATTTTTGAAAGGCCCAATGTATATATATGTAGGTTCGGTTTTATTTTGGGCCTAAAATAAGTTACCATTACCACTTAGGAGAGGCAGTCCACGTCCATGGTCCATCATCTCTAGTTCTTGCCTAACCTCACATCGCCTAACCTCGCTATCGCTCACTCTCAAAGAATCACAATCGCAATCGCAAACGCCCTCGCTCTTTGCCTGACTCTCGACTCGACTATTGATTCCGTCGCTCCAACTGCCGTGTGTCTGCTGCTGCCGGCTGCCCTCTCTCGTCTGCGGCTGCCTGGCCGGCTGCCTGCCTGCATGACTTGCTTCTCTCGTTGCTCTCTGGTTCTGCCGTCTGTGACTCTGCCTCTCGCTCTCGGCTTCTCGCTCCAATATAGAGAACAAAGGTTAGCACTTACTTACTTAGCAATTCTGGTTAGGTTAGGGAATAATAGCCGAATAGGGACTTAAGTATTAGGGTTACTTAATATTTTAATTACTTATTTACTTTACTAATTTTATTTTTTAAGTTTCTAATTCTTGTTAGTTGTTTGATTGTAAAACCTAATTCTTGTTTTATATTCTAATTTTATTTTTTACTCTACTGTTGAGTTAGCTGTTAACACTTATTTACTTACTGTGGAATTAGAAACAAATGACAACCATTTGTCATTCGTTAATTTTAGGGCTGTTTTACTGTTTAGATTGATGCTTAATTGCTTATGTTTTTTCCTTTATCAATTTGTCCAGGTTGCTTAATCGTTCCACTTTCTTGGCAATTTCACAACACGAACCACGAAGGACTAAATCCAGGTGTTTTGTTTCTATTCTTTATATCGTATAAGAATTTAACTACTTAAGTTATGTTGCCTCGATCACAACCATCAGATACTCAAAATAGGAAAAGAAAGAAAAGGCAAGAAGAAATTGCTCAATCTTTGCGAGGATCTTTAAATAAGTTTATTGTTAGACAACCAAATGTTTCTGAAAATGCTAGTGATAAAAATGAAAATACGTGTGATGCAAATGCTTGTGATACAAATGCTTGTGATGTAAATGCTTGTGATGCAAATGCTTGTGATACAAATGCTTTTGATGCAAATGCTTGTGATACAAATGCTTTTGATTTAAATGAAAATGTTAGTAATGAAATTGTTTGTGCTTGTGATGATGCTTCTAGTGAT